AATGAAAACAAGTGTTCCAAATTGGTTGTGTTCGATTATGAGAAATTATGATCGATTGCTTGGTCGTTTAGTCACTACGACCAATCTTCGATTATTTCAATTAATCGGACCACCACTACCTCTTATCTCTCTGCTGTGGGTTCTGTGCTGTCTATAAGTGGCGCCTCTCTTAAGAAAGCCCCTGAGCTTAAAGCTATCCACAACAAGTTCCGTCTGGAAGACCTGGGTGCCATTGTACAATGCGATCTTAGCGCTAAGGGTGACCGTAACTCCCATACCTTAACACAGACTTAAGGTAGTCTTAGCGCTAAGGTGACCGTAACTCCCATACCTTAACATAGACTTAAGGTAGTCTTAGCGCTAAGGTGACCGTAACTCCCATACCTTAACACAGACTTAAGGTAGTCTTAGCGCTAAGGTGACCGTAACTCCCATACCTTAACACAGACTTAAGGTAGTCTTAGCGCTAAGGTGACCGTAACTCCCATACCTTAACATAGACTTAAGGTAGTCTTAGCACTAAGGTGACCGTAACTCCCATACCTTAACATAGACTTCAGGTAGTCTTAGCACTAAGGTGACCGTAACTCCCATACCTTAACACAGACTTAGCACTAAGGTGGTAGTCTTAAGGTAGCACTAAGGTGACCGTAACTCCCATACCTTAACACAGACTTAAGGTAGTCTTAGCACTAAGGTGACCGTAACTCCCATACCTTAACATAGACTTAAGGTAGTCTTAGCACTAAGGTGACCGTAACTCCCATACCTTAACATAGACTTCAGGTAGTCTTAGCACTAAGGTGACCGTAACTCCAATACCTTAACACAGACTTAAGGTAGTCTTAGCACTAAGGTGACCGTAACTCCCATACCTTAACACAGACTTAAGGTAGTCTTAGCACTAAGGTTGTTTAGCACTAAGGTTGTACAATAGCACCCAGGAGCTCCTTTCACAAAACAACCTTTACTTAGGCTAACCTTATCTCTAAAGTTGGCATTTAAGGTAACCTTAAATAAAGTTACACCCGTTTCACGAATCAGCCTTAGGCCCACCTTATCTCTGACGGATTTTACACCTCAACCTTAGCTAAGGTTGGAACTCTTCTGTGTTGAAGTAAGGGCTATTCCGTAGATACGCCGAAGAGTGATCTGCCTTGCTCGCATCTGCTTTCGACTTATTGCAGCCTTCATTACGAAATGTCACAGCAGTCTGTTGATCATAATAATCAGAGGAAACGGGCGAGACAGGCCAACTTCTCCCAATATGAACTCTCCATCATCGCTGATGAGGTGAGGCTGAGAAGTCATGTCCTCTTTTCATCCTTCTCCAACACCGTTACGAATCAATCGAAGATGAAGGAGTGGGACGCCATTGCATCTTAGTAAGTTGCTCGCAGTGTTGTCTGTTGTAATGTCAACAAATGTATCAATATATCATCCAAACTGTTGTAATGTCATCAAATGTATCTATATATCATCCAAACTGTTGTAATGTCAACAAATGTATCAATATATCATCCAAACTGTTGTAATGTCAACTAATGTATCAATATATCATCCAAACTGTTGTAATGTCAACTAATGTATCAATATATCATCCAAACTGTTGTAATGTCAACAAATGTATCAATATATCATCGAAACTGTTGTAATGTCAACTAATGTATCAATATATCATCCAAACTGTTGTAATGTCAACTAATGTATCAATATATCATCCAAATTAATGTTTGGCTTTATTTGAAAACACCCCTACAGCCAATTTAAAATAACCTGCAAATATTCCCATGTATATACAAAACACATATTTCAGGATATAGACAATCTAGGTCTAAAGTATGTTCTTTCAATATTTTTCAAGTTTTTCTTTATTTCCAGATTAAATGCAAGGAGTGGCCAACAGATCCGCAATAAGTGGAATTCAATTTATTTTTAAAAAATGTTTAGTAATGCTCATCAGTGTTCAATTATGCTACTTTTGATTAATTGCCTTTACTTTTGTTATATTGTATACAGGTAATTCTGTCATGGTATTATAATTGGCCATACTTATAGATTGATATGTGTTTTATCGATGAGTGTGCGTTGTATAAAAATTGCTCTTTCTAAGAATTGATAAAGGAATTTATCAAATAATGATTCTGACTGAGTAACGGAATCATTAATCTAATATAGGTATATAATCACAGGTAAAAAAGAAGGCAACTGACTTCCGGAATCCCTCAGCGACGTTGAACACAAGAGAAGTGATTATTATTGAATTAATACCATAAATAAAAATGTTTATCTGCTGTAGTAAGCCTGATAATTTGATATGATTATACGTTTTGTTTTCAAATCAATTAAATATGCCGTTAATCGTTACAATGATATTATGTCCTGTGGGTTTAGATGAGGAATTGAGTGACGGTATAATGTGTATCTCAGTAACCTTATTATATATTGTAAACTTCAAAATATACTCTTAAAAAGAAACTTGACATAGAAAAACTTTGAATTTTAGGAAAGTATTTGACACTAACCAATCCATGCTGAATCCCAGCATGCAACGAATGGTTGCCGTTTGAAAAAAGAAACGTAACGTTACACTGACGTCTGTAGTGAATCGTTAAAACGCACCCTACATGACATGCACGTGCATCATGAAATTGTGTTTCACCCTGGGCTGATGCCTATGACTGCAGGCTTTAAAAAGCCACATCAATGGTACTCCACATGCATTGCGTTAAGCCACTATAGACGACAAGAGAATGAAAAGACTGACCGAACCTCAACGACACAACGTCATCGGCCGTTTACAAAAATGGGCATCACAGCATGAGGTGGCAAGGCACTTCAGCGTGTCCAGATAGACCATCTCAGATCTATGGATCCGATACAACAATACTGGGAGTGTTAATGACAGACCCGGGTCAGGTCGACCTGGAGTTACCACCGCCGCCCGGGATCGCCACATCCGGTTGAGACATTTTCGTTCAAACACCACGACCGCATCATCCAGAACAATCCAAATCCCTGGACTGCGTCGAATCTCAGACCAGACAGTGCGCAATTGGCTATGGGAAGCCAGACTTTTTGCCAGAAGACCAGTTCAACGTCACGTCGTTCCCTTCATCAACGTCAACGGTTGATCTTTGGAGCATGACAATGCTCGACCTCCCGCTGCACGTGTTTGACAGGACTTCCTCCAGCAAAACAATGTTCAGGTGTTACCTTGGCCTTCTCGATCACCCGATTTGTACCGCATTGAACATCTATGGGATACTCTTGATCTATGCTTGCAACAGCGTAAACCGCCATCTCAGACACTACAAGAACTGCACACAGCACTTCAGGAAGAGTAGCAAAACATTCCTCAAGACAGCATTCGGCATCTCCATTCTTCTATGGGCCACCGCTGCCATGCTATTATCGATGCTCATGGTGTTCACACCAGATACTGACATTTTACTCTGAACAAGTCGCTTCATAGCCTGTGGTTTTACCAAACACTTTCTGGATAATCATGTTTTGGAAATTTGAAAAATGATGATTTTGCTGTAAATGAGCAAATGACGTCATGTTTGAATCAGTTATAATAGTTATATGCACTCAGTAACTAAACTAAAAACAGGATGTCAAGTTTCTTTTTTTGGAGAGTATATAATGATTGCAGACCTACAGATAAGTTTTTCGGTCATTGAGCTATGTACTCGCTTGTATTCATCTCAATTGGGTAACCTAATTTTCCTTTGAGTAACCAAACAAATTGTACCCACCTCACTCAAGCTCAGTTAGGTATTTTGCCATTTTCAGTTAATTGTAAAAAATTAATAAAATTGAAATGTTGGTTTACGTGTTTGTTATTTATGTGAGATAAATATATCCTTTTTTATCTATAATGCATTACATACAATAAAGTGGTCTTTCAGAACATTTTGCCAAACACATACTGTAATGATTTTATTGATTATATATATGATGTAATTTCAGTCCGAACATGCTCAACATGTGAAGAAGAACCCCCAGTGGAGACGCCACAAATTACCAGTTTTCGCGGCTTCATTCACCCATGCACTACACAACACTTCCTCAAACTCCTGTACAGTTACCTCACCTGCTACCCTCACCACTGATGACAGCATTGTCCCAATGGCAAGTGCTGACAGGTCTTTACCAGATCAAGGAAACCACAGGGTATTTGGAATTTGACATGTGTATCAAGTTTGTATTGTCACACCTCTAGTAGACATTTTCAAAAACAGACCCTGGATGTGTAAATATATATGTTCAAATAGAAATTCAAACATATTCAATACATATTGAGAATGTTTTAAGTAATTCTAAGTAAGACTGCTCTGGCGTTGTCCTGTGTATCTGTCGTGGTGTATCTCTAATTTGGTTCATTTTATTCAGAGTTTGCACTATGCATTATGTCATCAGTTCCCACCTCCGAGCTGTGGTATTTGCATTTGTTGTGAAGCAGAGTAAGCTAATAGAATAACAGTAATTTCTTATAGTTTCATGCTTACCTGCTTGACGTTAAGTATGGCCCTACCTGGCCTCCCCGCTTAGTGGGGAAATTTAAATTTTTTTAACCCCGGAATAAATCAATCAACGACCTGCCACTTGTTGACAAATCCCATTTAAGAGCTTGGTGGTATATATGTAGAGATGACGCAGACCTGGTGTGTCGGTACGTGAGAGCTTTGTATACTTCGTGTATGAGAGATCAGATACAGTTCCTGAATCTTTGTGTCTCAAAATGAGACAGCTCTTGTTTCTCGTCACGGTGGTCGTTGTCAACGTTATCACAGCTGTAGACGTTGATGAATTTGACGCTCTGATATCGTCAGGGGAGGCACCTACAGGACAAGAAACAAGTATGCAGTACAGGGAGGGGCAGGTGACAGATGCTGAAGACAGAGGAGGCAATGCTGGAGAAGAAAGGATGAGCAAAGTCCGAGATCACATGGGGACAGGTAGTGCTGGAGAAGGATTGACGAGAAATGTCAGAGATGACGGTAATAAGAAGACAGGTACTACCGGAGAAGGATGGACGAGAAATGTCAGAGATGAAGGTAACAGGACAGGTAGTGCTGGAGAAGGATGGACGAGAAATGTCAGAGATGACGGTAACAGGACAGGTACTACCGGAGAAGGATGGACGAGAAATGTCAGAGATGACGGTAATAAGAAGACAGGTACTACCGGAGAAGAACCGACGAGAAATGTCAGAGATGACTTTAATAGGGAGACAGGTACTACCGGAGAAGAACGGACGAGAAATGTCAGAGATGACGGTTATAAGAAGACAGGTACTACCGGAGAAGAACGGACGAGAAATGTCAGAGATGACGGTAATAGTAAGACAGGTACTACCGGAGAAGGATGGACGGGAAATGTCAGAGATGACGGTAATAAGAAGACAGGTACTACCGGAGAAGAACGGATGAGAAATGTCAGAGATGACGGTAATAGGAAGACAGGTACTACCGGAGAAGAACGGACGGGAAATGTCAGAGATGACGGTAATAGGAAGACAGGTACTACCAGAGAAGGAAGGACGAGAAATGTCAGAGATGACGGTAATAAGAAGACAGGTACTACCGGAGAAGGATGGACGAGAAATGTCAGAGATGACGGTAAGAGGAAGACAGGTACTACCGGAGAAGGAAGGACGAGAAATGTCAGAGATGACAGTAATAAGAAGACAGGTACTACCGGAGAAGGATGGACGAGAAATGTCAGAGCTGACGGTAATAAGAAGACAGGTACTACCGGAGAAGGAAGGACGAGAAATGTCAGATATGACGGTAATAAGAAGACAGGTACTACCGGAGAAGGAAGGACGAGAAATGTCAAAGATGACGGTAATAAGAAGACAGGTACTACCGGAGAAGGATGGACGAGAAATGTCAGAGATGACGGTAATAGGAAGACAGGTACTACCGGAGAAGGAAGGACGAGAAATGTCAGAGATGAAGGTAATAGGAAGACAGGTACTACCGGAGAAGGAAGGACGAGAAATGTCAAAGATGACGGTAATAAGAAGACAGGTACTACCGGAGAAGGAAGGACGAGAAATGTCAGAGATGACGGTAATAAGAAGACAGGTACTACTGGAGAAGGAAGGACGAGAAATGTCAGAGATGACGGTAATAAGAAGACAGGTACTACCGGAGAAGGAAGGACGAGAAATGTCAAAGATGACGGTAATAAGAAGACAGGTACTACCGGAGAAGGATGGACGAGAAATGTCAGAGATGACGGTAATAAGAAGACAGGTACTACCGGAGAAGGAAGGACGAGAAATGTCAGAGATGACGGTAATAGGAAGACAGGTACTACCGGAGAAGGAAGGACGAGAAATGTCAGAGCTGACGGTAATAGGAAGACAGGTACTACCGGAGAAGGAAGGACGAGAAATGTCAGAGCTGACGGTAATAAGAAGACAGGTAGTACCGGAGAAGGAAGGACGAGAAATGTCAGAGCTGACGGTAATAGGAAGACAGGTACTACCGGAGAAGGAAGGACGAGAAATGTCAGAGCTGACGGTAATAGGAAGACAGGTACTACCGGAGAAGGAAGGACGAGAAATGTCAGAGCTGACGGTAATAGGAAGACAGGTACTACCGGAGAAGGAAGGACGAGAAATGTCAGAGATGACGGTAATAGGAAGACAGGTACTACCGGAGAAGGATGGACGAGAAATGTCAGAGCTGACGGTAATAGGAAGACAGGTACAACCGGACAAGAACGGACAAGAAATGTCAGAACTGACGGTAATAGGAAGACAGGTACTACTGGAGAAGGATGGGCGAGAAATGTCAGAGATGACGGTAATAGGAGGACAGGTACCGACGTAGAAGGATGGACTAGAAATGTCAGAGCTGACGGTAATAAGAAGACAGGTACTACCGGAGAAGGATGGACGGGAAATGTCAGAGATGACGGTAATAAGAAGACAGGTACTACCGGAGAAGAACGGACGAGAAATGTTAGAGCTGACGGTAATAGGAAGACAGGTATTACTGGAGAAGGATGGACGAGAAATGTCAGAGATGATGGTAATAGGAGGACAGGTACTACTGGAGAAGAATGGACGAGAAATGTCAGAGCTGACGGTAATAGGAAGACAGGTACTACCGGAGAAGGATGGACGAGAAATGTCAGAGATGACGGTAAGAGGAAGACAGGTACTACCGGAGAAGGATGGACGAGAAATATCAGAGATGACGGTAATAGGAGGACAGGTACTACCGGAGAAGGATGGACGAGAAATGTCAGAGATGACGGTAATAGGAAGACAGGTACTACTGGAGAAGGAAGGACGAGAAATGTCAGAGCTGAAGGTAATAAGAAGACAGGTACTACCGGAGAAGGATGGACAAGAAATGTCAGAGATGACGGTAATAAGAAGACAGGTACTACCGGAGAAGGATGGACGAGACATGTCAGAGATGACGGTAATAGGAAGACAGGTACTACCGGAGAAGAACGGACGAGAAATGTCAGAGATGACGGTTATAGGAGGACAGGTACCGACGGAGAAGGATGGACGAGAAATGTCAGAGATGACAGTAATAGAAAGACAGGTACCGACGGAGAAGGATGGACGAGAAATGTCAGAGATGACCGTAATAGGAGGACAGGTACCGACGGAGAAGGATGGACAAGAAATGTCAGAGATGACGGTAATAGGAGGTCAGGTACCGACGGAGAAGGATGGACGAGAAATGTCAGAGATGACGGTAATAGAAGGACAGGTACCTACAGAGAAGGATGGACGAGAAATGTCAGAGATGACGGTAATAGGAGGACAGGTACCGACGGAGAAGGATGGACGAGAAATGTCAGAGATGACGGTAATAGGAGGACAGGTACCGACGGAGAAGGATGGACAAGAAATGTCAGAGATGACGTTAACAGAAGGACAGGGAACGCTGCTCAAGAATGGGTGAGCAATGTGAGAGATGATGTGAACAGGAGGACAGGGAACGCTCGAGAAGAATGGATGAGCAATGTCAGAGATGACGTTGACTGGGGGACAGGGAACCCTGGAGAAGGATGGATGAACAATCTCCGAGATGATGTTAACAGAAGGACAGGGAACGCTCGAGAAGAATGGATGAGCAATGTCAGAGATGACGTTTACAGGAGAACAGGGATCGCTGGAGAAGAATGGACGAGAAATGACGTTAACTGGAGGACGGGGAACGCTGGAGAAGGATGGATGAACAATCTCCGAGATGACGTTTACGGAAGGACAGGGAATGGTAGAAGAAATCGGCATTCCACAGAGTTTAATACGAATCCAAGACAAGGTAACCAAGATTTGTATATTCTTTCTGTCGAGGTAAGTAATAAGTACTGATTCTTGTTCAGGTCTTGACACTGGTTTTATTATGACGAAGCATAAAATGGAATATTTAATGCATCAGTGAGTTCAACGTGCCCAATGTCAGGTACCCGTTAGATTAACGCTTAGTCTCTGAATATATATACTTTTGATAAGATCAAATATTAGTCATTTTAAACTGAAGGAGCCCCAATGGAATGGGAGATTCAGAACCCGACCCGCAGGAAATACAGGCTTGCTTCAGGGCTTTAGCATTGCAGAATGAGCTGGACGGATGCGAAAATAATGCGGTGAGACAGACTAGGTACCCATCTGTGGGTTACAGTGAACATATCCTTGTTCCACACTATTCCTTTCAATAGTATGGCTGAGTCATCTAAGGTGCTCTTTCGAATCCCAATATGTATCCGATTTTACATTTAGGTTTGTGGGGAATCTTCAGGGAGTTTTGTCAGAAATGAAAGAAAATGGCATCTGGCGTTCACTGTGACATTATTGAAATTCCTAATGGATAACATCCATTAAAATGTTGGAGAGTTCATTTATGGAAAGGAGTAAGCATCCCATTGTGATCCAATTGTGCCATCTTCTTATAGCTGTAATTTTTTAAAATATACTTTTCTGCAGCATTGGCAAATTCAACACACGGGAATTTAAGTTTCATGTACATCGTTCAATGTGGTAATTTACCCGTGAAGATGCGGGTTACAATGAGTTTTCGTAAGAGGTGACTAACCGGATCGGGTGGTCAGACTCAATCTGTATTCCGGTACTGAAGAGGCCTCAGGCCTATAGTACAGTATATACACTGCTTTATACACGTTCAACGAACAAAACGTTTTCTATGTACAAATGAGTAGAAATATACATGGACAGGTTTTCAATTTCTTTAGGATTTGAACTGTTTAGCAGTAGTGAAAAACTTAAGCCTGTTTGGATGGACTTAATATTTTTCTCTTATATATTTGCTTCGAAGACTACTGTAGTTAGGGCATACAAAAAGAAAATGATACTCGTCTTGAATTGCATTGGTATTACATAATTTACAAGTTCTATGTACTCTATCCATATTTACATATCTACCTTTCTCGATTAGAAGTTCATGAGATAAGCATCGGAATCGTGCTAAGCTTACTCTATACTTGTTTACATTTAAACATGATAGATAGAATTCGGTATGGATATTGTTTTTAAACATTAGGTAAGTGTCACATTTGCTTGAAATAGATAGTTTTTCTTGTCAATTTTGAAAATACATATCTTTTAGTCTTTGAGTAAATGATTTGATGAATTCCGGATATATTCCATTTTCTTGGTTGTGCCAAATATCTCCAAATCCAGTAGAAAATAAAAATTGTTTTATCTCAGTCATCCAGTTTTTGTTTTTTTTTCATTTCTATCATAAAAGCATAATATTATAACATTTCTTTGGTAGCGATAGGTTGGCATGTGTATTAACTTTATCCAATACCGAATTACTTTACAATAAGAGTGTACATATATAGGAAACCTGACACATTCTCCATAGATCTTGATATTTAGAGTGTTTTGTTTAACACCCAGGAACTTTTTACAGGCATACAAATGTACCATTTCTAATTTTCTAAGTGTATTTAATCCCCAAATTTCTGCGCCATATAAAAGAAGAGGATATAATTTTACATCAAATATTTTGAAAAATGAATTCATACTGAGATCACCAACAATATGTATTTGTCTTATGATTCCAAGAAGTACTTTCTGTGCCTGCACTGCTGCATAGTTTGCGTGCAATGACCAGGATAATTGATTAGTGAAATATACACCAAGATATTGTAGTAATATTGTAAGAATTTGTAGTTTCAAGTTTACAATCTTTATAATACCGGGGCGGTGGGGTAGCCTAATGGTTAAAGCGTTGGCTTGTCACGCCGAAGGCCCGGGTTCGAATCCCCACATGGGTACAATGTGTGAAGCCTATTTCTGGTGTCCCCCGCCGTGATGTTGCTGGAATATTGCTAAAAGCGGCGTAAAACCAAACTCAGTCAGTCAGTATAATACCATTTTTCAGTTTTCCTAGTTTTCTCCCATTTTTAAATACCACTACTTTTGTTTTATCCAAATTAACTGTCAGCTTTGACTCCTCACAAAAGTTTTCCTTATATATATTTGCCTTTGCAGGTAAATAATAGTACTTGATATCAATACAATGTCATCAGCAAAAAGCAACAGAAATAGTTGCAAGATATTAGGATGTAATTGTACGCCGTGTGTACAATTATTCTCGATCTGCTTTGTCAATTCATTTATGAAAAAAGAAAATAAGAAGGGTCTCAACACATAGCCTTGTCTGACTCCTGCTTGTATGTCAAAGGTTTCTGATACTACATTATTATTTCTGACACAAGCTTTAACATTCTCATATATTTGTCTTAAGAGTTTATTCATTTTGGGGCTTAGTCTACTTGTGTTTAGAAGATTCCATAATTTATTTATTTCCACAGAGTCAAACGCTTTAGCAAAGTCAACAAATAACGCATAAAATATCCACCCTTTAATATTAAGGTATCTCTGGACGATACTTTGTAGGACAAACATATTATCAATGGTTGCGTAGCCTTGTTTAAAACCTGCCTGGCATTCAGTTAACTTGTCCATTGTTTTCCCCCAGAATACTAACCTCTTATTGATAATTGAAGTGAAAATGTTACTGAAAACGCTGAGAAGTGTCATCCCTCTATGATTGTTAACGTTGTTTAAGTCGCCAGTTTTGTACAAAGGAACTATTATTCCCATTGACCAGTCTTTAGGAAAGTTACCTTTTTCAAGTATCAGGTTGAATAATAGATCTAAGTATGGGGTTAAAAGGTCAGACGAATATTTAAGCAATTCAGGTATCATATTGTCTATTCCTGGGGATTTGTTAAGCTTAAGATTCTGGATGCTGTCTAATATTTCTTTCCTAGTTATAGGCGAGTCTAGTATCTGTTCTGTGAGTTCGCAATTTACGTCAGAGTGTACGGTATTATTATCATTTTTACGTTCGGATATTTCACCATCTGTTCAGTTTTTGAACGAAAACAAATTTTTGAAGTGATAAAACCAATGTTTTGTATCAATTTTATTCGTCTCATGCTTCGAGTTTAGACGTTTTAAATCATTCCAAAATCTTTTTGAATCATTTATACTATTTTCTATCATTGCTTGTTTATTTTTAAAATATTCGGTGCGTTTTTGTTTGCACACGGAATTGTATTCATTTCTTATCTTATTATAGTTTACTAATGAGCTTCTATTTTTATGTTTTCTAAATTTGTTCAGACATCTACAGCGTTCAATTTCAATTTTCTGCATTCTTTATTAAACCAGTCATTTACAGATGGTTTGGTTTTCCTAAGTTTTCTCATCATATCAGATGCGGCTAGACTAAGTGCCTCTACAACATAATCAATGCTACTATCAATGCACGTAAATGCGCAGTCCAAAGATTTATCTAGGAGTTCCTGTACATCATCTTATAAAATGTTTTGCCTAAACTGTTCTAGTTTATTGCTATCCCAAATGAATTTAAAGCCGGTATTGCTCTCTGTATCTAATACATCAGGTTGTCGTGCATAAAGCGCTCGTAATTTCAACGTGACTGGGAGAAATGTCAGAGATGACGGTAATAGGAGGACAGGTACCGTCGGAGAAGGATGGACGAGAAATGTTAGAGATGACGTTAACAGAAGGACCGGGAACGCTGCACAAGAATGGGTGAGCTATGTGAGAGCTGGTGTTAACTGGTGGACAGGGAACCCTGGAGAAGGATGGATGAAAAATCTCCGAGATGATGTTAACAGAAGGACAGGGAACACTCGAGAAGAATGGATGAGAAATGTCAGAAATGACGTTAACTGGTGGACAGGGAACCCTGGAGAAGTATGGATGAACAATCTGCGAGATTACGTTAACAGAAGGACAGGGTCAGACTTGTTGATTTGGTTGATACATGTCATCGTATCCCAATTTCGTAGATCGTTACTGATGCTGTTGATCACTGGATTGTCTGGTCCTGAGTCGATTATTAACAGAAGGTCGTCATATTACTGGAATATTGTTGAGTGCGAAATTAAAAACAACAAACCAACCAACCAATGGGGGTAATTTATTTTTAATTTTCTAATTCATTTCCACTGACTGACCTAACTTAACACTAGGAGTAGAGGTGACCTATGAAACAGCTTCATCTGATTCATAGTTAGATTATGCACAAAACTTAGACTGACAAAGACTGCCCTCAAACCTTCAATTCACGATCAGTCAACGTTCCCTTTATATCGATCAATAATAGGCAAATATCTAACAGATTTTGAGAAACAGTCGAACATACTCCTACGAAGATTTCAAAGGGCGTTAAACGATCACTTCAGTTATCAAATGTATCTCTGATTCAATTCATTACAGGGGCGGTGGGGTAGCCTAGTGGTTAAAGCGTTGGCTCGTCACGCCGAAGACCCGGGTTCGATTCCCCACATGGGCACAATGTGTTAAGCCCATTTCTGGTGTTCCCCGCCGTGATATTGCTGTAATATTGCTAAAAGCGGCGTAAAACTAAACTCAGTCAGTCAGTCAGTCAATTCAATACAGTCATACTCAAATTTCCCTCTTGATTTGCCCTTGCATGTGTTTATGAATGACTCAATAACTTTGTCGGCACTTGTGCTCGTGCTTCTCCTACACCTGGCTGTCCCTTTCTCTGCACTCCTCCCTCGTAACAAATAGTGAACTGTGTCAATATTTTAATGATAGTTTGTTAAACAACTATTTCATTAGCACGAGCACACATGCCAACAAAGTTATTGATTCATTAACCTGTGCTGTGCTGTCTCCATCCTTCCTCGCACACTAGGCTGTTCCTCTTTGCACTCCTCCCTCGTGACAAATAGTGAACTGTGCCAATATTTTAATGATAGTTTGTTAAACAACTTTTCTATTATTAGGACATACATTCTGCAAAAATTTCTCACTGAGTTGGTCTGATGTTTTGATTATGATCAGCGTTTCATTGAGTATTATATTTTTATTAGTTTTCGAGTTCGATTGCCATTCATCGGTCCGCTTTTGAGCCAAACGGACTATAGTGCCCACTTGAGACAAAACGTATTTAAAACGTCAATCTTCCGTTGCATTCGCCTGAAACCACCACTAAATCAGATATCTGGGTGCTGGATATCACACCCCACACAGTGACACCTCCTCCACCGAATCTGTGGACATGTCGAACGTTCATTTTTCCGTCGGTGAAGAAGAAATCGTGAGTCATCACTGAGCCAGACTCGCCCAGAGTTTCTAAGGTTCCAGTTCCGGACTCTACGACACCACGCTAGCAATTGCATGGATGTAAGTCTCTCAAAACAGAACAGGCGTGACAACTTCAAGCAATCGATTCCTGACAGTTTGGTCGGACATTCTTCTGAAACCAGGCATGCGTTGGGCAGTCTCCACGGCTGTGGCAAGACGACGACGCAAGTGAGTAACCCGGATGTAGCAGTCTTGGGCTTAGGTGGTAACTCTTGGACGACCGCTTCTCGGAATTGCTCTGCAGAAAACGATCTCAAAGGCGAGATATGATGCTCTGATGAACGTTGAAATGTTGGGCAACTGCCGAATGGGACTCCTCGTCTTCAAGGCGGGCTATGGCAATGTTTCGATTGGGGGCACTCAGTCGTGGCATGATGATTTTCTCTTTTCCAGACAAAAACGAATGACAGAATTGAACACAACGTTTGCCTTTTTATAATTATCGATACCGCATGCTTTTCCGCTTACTTGCAATTTGTTCTGCATGTTTTCTCGGTGACGTTTTGGCGAATATTTCTTCAAATGCTTATAAAACAGGGGGAAAAGTTAAACTTTCTGCGTCCTGACACTGAAGCTGTTTACAATCACACAGAGATGACGTGTTGGAAAGAAATAGTATATTTGTTTTGTTTTTGCCGCAGCTACATAAGTCCAATACTGTTAAGACCATTTATGCGTTTCTTTTTTATGTGTATTCAGAGATTAATTTATAAGCGTTTGTCCTTTTGGGGGATACTAAATCTGATATTTATACAGCTCTTTAACATTCAGCATGTATTATTCCCTCCTTCCTTTTTCAATTTTAGAATCATCTTGTCCGAGGGATTTTGTGTACAATGCCAAGCTGAAGTTCTGTTTCAAAGTGATTTTTGAGAGATCCCCCACGTTCAGTGCCAAGAAGAAATGTCAACAGATGGTCAAGGGAGGTCGACTTGTCCAGCCGGACACAAGTGACAAACTGAGGGAACTCACAAAATACATCAGCAGCAATAAGCGTGGTAAGATGTTATGCTTTGTCTCCAATTTAGTATTAATTTCATAGATAGTAATAACAACTGTCTGGCCCGCACCTTACATTTAGGATAATATTTTGTCAAATTATACATGAAATTAATAATGAAATTACCTAACAAATTCGAGCCGACCAGTATTTTTTTTCTTCTTTCACTTCCGAGAGACATCCAGAGAAATAACAAGTACCATCTTTAAACAGCTATTGGTAGGACGCGTTAGGGGATAAAACCATCGATCTATCCAGTAGATCATAGAGGCAATGAAAAACTGAAGTGAAGGGTAACTGATTTCCGATTTTGAATATTGGGGTTTAATGATTAAATGAGTGAGTGAGTGAGTGAGGTTATATGTTAGCAATATTCCAGCATATGACGAAGGGGTACAACAGAAATAAGCTTCTGGTTAGTCTTAAAGTTAAAGTGTTCGCTCGTCACGCCGATTACACGGGTTCCATTCTCAACTGGGTACAATGTGTGAAGCCCATTTCTGGTGTCCCCTGCCGTGGTATTGCTGGAATTTTGCTAAAATTGGGGTGAAACTCACTTACTCACTCACTTATTTAACCACGGCTGTACATTTCATCGACCCATCTTCCATTTAACTCTTATCTATCCTTGTAGTCTCCAAAGTCAAGGTTACCAGAGGTCAAGGCAATATATTCACGAATTTTTCTCAGTGATGATAAGAGATCAAAACCTTTGTCAGAAGTCCATATTCCTGTTCTCACAGTTTCTAATCACGTAACACAAGACATGCATTTTTAAGACCTCCATACTGTACAATTTAACATATTTAGGTTTAATGCCGCACGCAGGAATATTCCAGCTATATAGCGGCGGTCAAGTAAATAATCGAGTCTGGACAAGACAATCCAGTGATCAACATCATGAGCATCTATCTATGCAGTTGGGATCACAGGGGCTTGTAACGCAAAAGACTGCCATCAAGGTATATCCTGTCACTGACGGGTTCTCAACACTATCCTTTTTTTTATAGTGTTCAGACCCCGTCAGCCACAGTATATACCTCATTCTACCATGGCTACGTGACATGCTCGAATTTGATTGGTCAGTCAATAAAATCAGACGGTTTCAAAGTTGGATTGACAATTGATTTCACGGCGTTTCACTGCGCACGTATAAATCACTGCCGCACTACTTCAGCTTGGCCACCAACATGACTAACATCAACACAACAGACGTGATGGAAATGCTGATAAAACATTTATTAAAACTCGAAAAATACAATTATACGATTTCTCCTCCACAATTATTAGGGAACCTCACTATCATAATTATTTCCTTCTATTATAAAAATATTCAAACTCAATTGCAATACACAGCCCCAAACATAAACAAACAATATCTAACATATAAATCAGAAAACCTTGTAAAAATACATCCCTATCTATCCCTATTTGTGCAGCAAAATGTTCGTAAACATTTTTACCTATCTGGTAAATGGTATATTTGTTTCCGTTTAGAATTCGTTGGTTTCACATTACATTTCGACTCACTGTGCGCATGCGCAGAGCGTGTGAAAGCTATCCACTGGCCAACTTCCGGTTTGGTCGTATGTTTACTGATGGTGTAAATACACTCTAAATAAAAGCTTTAAATTATTTACGTTGTGACAACAGTTCATAGCTGAGTACATACTTCCATTTGCCTATGCTTTTCAATAATTGATGTCCCATTTTGGTTGTAATTCCATCAGAGATGTGGGTTTTTTTTAGTTGTCAGAAGGGGATGTGCGGGAAGGACGGTGGTGGTGAGATGTCTTTATACAAGAGCTTGTTAACATAATTTAAGCTATTTATATAACTAATCCCAGCCTTTGTTTCATACATCAATTGGGATCAGTTGCATTTGGCATAAAACTATATAGTTGTTTTGATTTTTGTTTTCTTTAGAGTGTGTTTACACTCGGTAAAGCATACGACCAAACCGGAAGTTGGCCAGTGGATATTTTTACACGCTCTGCTCATGCGCACAGCGAAACGAACAATTACTGTGAAACCAACGAATGGGAAATTCGCAAGATAACGGTCAGGCGAAACACAATATTTATGCCACTCATACTCCATCATGTCCCGTTGCATCGTTCAAAATGTCAAAACTTGAACCACGAGAATTCCGCTCCCTGCCACCTTCCCCACAAGGCTGTCACTGCTATGTTCGTACACTTTGAAAAAAGCTTGGCCACAATCCAGTCCCAAATGATGAGAACAATGTTCCAAGGAATCCCAAGTTAGTCGCATGTACACAAAGCAGCACTGTCACTCTTTCGTCGCATGCCTGGGTGGAGGCACGTACGTGAAATCATGATTGACACTCGCCGGTCATAAAAATCAACAGTCCTTGATGAGTTTCAGGTCGTAGGTCGATCAGAAAAAGGATCTATATATATTCTTCGATTCTGCAGGGTTCAAATTCGACAGTCAGTCAAGTATTTTCCACTGTCACTTCAAATTTCGACCTTTCGCAAAATGTAAACACTGGCTCATCCGCCATTTCAAACTGTTGCCTAACTGTCTACTTCCAAGAAAATAAGTAGGTCAGACGATTCCATTATAGTGTGGCCAGGTGGGTACAGTAACACGGCACACAAACAATAGGCCGGTTTCGGTCGTGTCGAGTTATGATTATAAAAACCAAGCTCTTAAGTGTTGCATTATTGCATTGAATAAACAGTAGTTTCATTTCATTTGAAGCCGAACGCGTAGCGTGAGGTTTCAAGTGATTAATTTAGAGACTATCAATTAGGTCTAACTTTCATCTAATTTCCAAACACAGTTCGTTTATTTCCTAAATATACCAGTCTTTGGCGTTACAAGCAACTGTGTTTGGGATACGATGGTATGTGTCATCTAAGTCAACGGGCCTGACCACCTCGCGACTTACGACAAGCACGGGGTGCTGAAGATAAATAATCTAAAATTGGTCGCAGTGACTAAACGACCTAGCAGTCGATCGTGGTTTCTCATAATCGAACACCACTTTTGCACCACTTACTTGCATTAACAATATTTTTCACAAGATTGGTTTTGTCTGTGTCATTCAATTTACATTTAATAAGCACTACAAGCTCGTTCGAAGTCATGACTGAAGTAATCTTAAAGACTCCAGGAAATTTATTTTCCTAACATACTAGTCGTCCTTTAAAGATGTGAAATTTGCAAATGCATTTTGTGCAATTTGCAACAATAGAAAAAAACAAAACTTTTGTGCATTAACAAATATAACAGGAAAATTGGATAAATGGAGGCAAACCAATTATTTTCGATGATTGATCGGTTGTAATGAATCATAAATTATGAGATTTTAACCAATTCCCAACACTGGTACCTATTTCATGAGAATTGGTTTCCAGAGGCTCGATCAAGCTTCGCCTTCGGCTCCATCAAGAGAAGGAGACAGTGGCACACGTGGATGGACGGAAGCCCAATGGATTACACCAACTGGTGTGATGGTTCCCCTAAACATGGTAAACATTGTGTCACACTCATCTCTCAGCAATGGGGCAGCGACATGTGCATGGACGACGGAGACTGCCTTGAACATGTCAACTTCATCTGTGAAAAACCTGTCGAGTGGTATTAGAAGCCAAGAGCGCCCCATTTGTTTGAGGCCATGTAATTTGCTTCTGAAAGCGGCATTAAACATATCACTCTCTATCCAAAAATGCGAGCGTATTCTTTATATGCATCCACAGTTATTTAGATTATATCATTTATATGTATCTGTGAACTGCTTGGGAGTTGACTTTTCTCTACTGCCCTGATCTGTCTCAGAGACACTAAAGATTACACCAAAAAGAAGTCCACTCAGGTCTTGAATCTTTAGGGATGTCTAGATTGAATCAGCTCTGAAATTAAGAACAATTTGGGTTTCCTTTAGGATTTTATTTTATAGATGTGAATTTTCAAATATACTCAGCAGCAAAAAAAACACGTCAGTACGAATTCAAAATTAGATAGGCACTGTAATCAAATCATTGCAGAAATGGACATAATAAGCGGATCAAGAACATTTTTTTTGTGTACAATATCTTTACACATCAATGAATAACTCAGCACAATTTTAAGACATTACGTGAACGTTTGCAGTCCATTCAGACTCTTGACTTCAGTATCTAGTGTGACCACCACGAGCGGCAATAACTGCAGCACAGCGTCTATGCATGGAGTGCACCAATCGATTGATGAAGGCCATTGGCACCTGGAACCACACTCTGAGAAAGGCCTTGCGCTATAAATCGGCTGTGTTCAGCCTTGGTATGACATTATTCAGTCTCCTCTGAATTTCATCCCAAAGATGTTCAATTGGGTTTAAATCAGGACTAAGGGCTGGTCACTGCATAATGTTGACACCGTTCTGCTGTAGGAAGTCCCGTGTAGCTCTGGCAGTATGGGCCCGGGCGTTATCATGCTGGAAAATGTTGTTCCGGTCTCGTGCGAAATGTGGTATGACGTGGGGTATGAGAGCTTGGTCGATGTAGCGCACCGATGTCATGCCGCCTCCTCTCCCTGGACCAAGGTTCTGGAACACCACAGGACCTGGTTCAGGCCTATTCCACGCCATACCATGATGTTTGCACCTCCCCATGAGTCTCTTTCCATAACACATTGGTCTGAGTAACGATGGCCACGTCGCCGCTATATTTCTGTTCTGCCATCTGCAGTTGATACGCAGCACCAACTCTCATCTGTGAACAGAACAGTTCTCCATTGCCTGTATCGCAAGTTTTAGTGTTGTAGGGCAAACTGTAGACGTTCACGCCGATGACGAGGGGTGAGGATAGGTCCACGGTAAGGTCTACGGCAATGGAGGTTCCCACTGTTAAAACGTCGGCGTACTGTATCAGTACTGATTGGTCTTCCGTGTGTTCCCACTGTCTGGCGTGCTGTTTCGGATGCCTGCATGAAGGGATTCTGTTCATGCTGTCGCACAACATGGCGGTCTTGGCGTCTTGTGGTCACTCTTGGTCTGCCAGTAAGGGGGCGATCATTTGTAGTGTTGGTGGCCCGGAAACGTTGCTGCAGCCTGTAGATTGTCCGAACGTTGACCTGGAAGTGATTGGCAACGGCTTGTGCAGTGTGGCCAGCTTCAAGTCTTCCTAGCGCCTGGTTCCTCTGAGCTGTCGTGAGTCGCGGCATCCTGCTGACGTTGTAATGTGAATGTTTCAACCAGGATTGGATGTGCATTTTATAGGGCTGGTCCTTGTGAACAGCGCGTGCAGCATGAGTTGCATAAAAAACATGGAGAACCATCTCCGAGATCAGGTTGCGTTTTTGAGACCATTTCCTGGGTTCAATTCTGAGTTTAGGAAGGAATGTCTTTGCTCAGGTAAAGTTGGAGATGTTGTAAAAAATATACAATCAAAACATTAAATGAGTTTACAGTTATCCGTTTCTGCGAAGGAAAATTCCAAACCGACGTTTCTTATGCTGCTTAGTATATGATTCGGTTGTGATTATATGTCCCAGAAAGATAGGTCCAACATTTCGTTATATTCAAACATGAGCTATTTTAAACTATATAATCAGTCACAAAATATATGGGATCATGTTATCATCTTCTTTTCTAAACAACCTGTGCAGCAAAGAGGCATCCATTCACCAATGGCGTCACGGGGTACGCCAGTCGCCTAAGCTGTTCACCTTGTGTGGCCAGAAACATGGGTTCGGATCCCTCTTGGTCTTGATTAAGTCAGCACTCTCTCTCTCTCACTCACTCACTCACTCACTAACATAGCTATTAGTGTTTGAATTGTCTAACGTCCGCCATCTGTGTGCAACATGACGCTGGAATCAAAGTTGGATTATGTCACTTCCGGTTTAAAAAAACCCGAAACATCCTCGCTTTACCAAAACGAAATTCATGGTCCCAGTGTAACGCGTAACAAAACCGCTGAGCATAACTTTTTAAGTTTGGGGTTAGTTCACATGTGAGTTCTTGGGATCGAGTCCCATCCAGGATTCGAACCCACACACTCATAAGTCATCGGTCTACTCCACTTAGCCAATGATGACAACATGGCCGACAAAAGGAACATGGTCAAATGTACTGAATGCTCTATTTGGGATTACATTAGATCAGTAATTCTGGTACATTGGCATTCATATCATTCAGTTGAACACACAAATCCCATTCATATTTGTGAGAGGGGTACAAAAAGTACAATCATTAAATCGAAACGTGAAATACGATCTGTAAATGTTGAATCCAACATGGCCGCCCCATCACCTGGCCTTTGTCATAAGCTTTGGAACGAACAGTGAGTGAGTTTAGTTTTAAGCCGCTTTTAGCAAAATTCAAGCAAAATCACTGCGGGGGACATCAGAAATTGGCTTCACACATTTTGCCCATGTGGGGAATGGAATCCGGGTCTTCGGCGTGACGAGCGAACGCCTTAACCACTAGGCCACCCCATTGCTGTCTTAGGAACGGAATTTTTTCAGTAAAATACGGAGGAGCTTCTAAACAACCTTACATGGTTAAAGTGTTAACTCGCCATAACGAAGGCCCGGTTCTGATTGGCAAGATGACTACAATATGTGAAGCCCATTGATGGAATATCGATAAAAACGACGTAAAACTCACTCACTCGGAATTTTTCCAGCAAATTACGAAGGAGCTTCTGAAACAACTTTACATGGTCAAAGTGTTACCTCCCAATAACGAAGGCCCGGTTCTGATTGACAAGATGCGTGAAGCCCATTGTTGGAATTTCGATAAAAGCGACGACGTAAAACCCAACTCACTCACTTCTTTCTTTCAGGAATAAAAATGTCTGAAAGTGAATCAGAATCGTTTAGGGATGTAGTGGCATTCGACATTCTCCTCTTGTGGGTTTTATCCCCACCCGTATCAGCAGCTAGCTTCTTAGATTTTACAAAATCCCATCTTTTTTTTTCTGCCACAGCTTTCTACGAATAAACTGGTGTCATGAATATTCATGAGATACGTCAGGTGGTCCTATCTCAGAAAAAAATGTGTACGGCAACGTACGATGTACGTTTGTAAAAGGACGTCGTAAAACGAGTGTACGATGTTAACGGTGGGTGCAGTTCCGGGAGTGAAAACCAGAATGACCTCAAAGTATGTTTACATAGCCAAGCTGTTAAATAGATTACCATGGCTAACGGGATCGGGTGGTCAGGGTCGCTGGCTTGGTTGACACATGTCATCGGTTCTCCATTGCGCAGATCGATGCTCATGCTGTTGATCACTGGATTGTCTGGTCCAGACTCGATTATTTACAGACCGCCGCCATATAGCTGGAATATTGTTGAGTGCGGCGTAAAACTAAACTCACTCTTCATCCAGCAGAAAATAGGTACCCGGTGGGATAAATTCATGTGACTATAACCTTCTAGCGCCTAAGAGGCAGCTTGGGTTATGCGGGGTAATAATAATAATAATCAGATTGTTTGGGCGTTTCGACCATGCATTGTGTATATACTGACTGACTAAGTTTGGTTTTACGCCGCTTTTAGCAATATTCCAGCAACATCACGGCGGGGGGGACACCAGAAATGGGCTTCACACCTTGTGCCCATGTGGGGATTCGAACCCGGGTCTTCGGCGTGACGAGCCAACGCTTTAACCATTAGGCTACCCCACCGCCCCCATTGTGTATATAGAAATGTGCATGATAAATGGACTATAATTATCATCATTATAAAATAAGGATGCGTAGGGCATGGTACCTCAGTGACCAGAACTATTCCAAGTTCGAACCCGGATCGTTCAGATTCGGTTTGTCTGCACCATCCCGTTGGTTCCGCGTCGATTCTTATCACGCCGAAGAACCGGGTTCGATTTCCCACATGGATGCAATTTTTAAAACCCCTTGTCTCGTGTCCCACGCCGTGATATCATATTGCAAAAAACGCAGAGTAAAACCATACTCACTCACTCATTCACTTCAGCAGTCATTCACTGCCAGCAAGTTGACACACCAAGATATAACTGGAATACTAAAGCAATGTTATACCAAACTCACGGTGGTTTGTTTATTTTCTTAAATGAAAACATCCTCTAGGTCCTTTAACATTATATACTATTGGGCAAAAGAAACGATACCAAGTCGAAACCACTGATATTACAAAACGAAAAACCACCATTACGTTGTGAAAAAGGAAAGTGAATTTTAATAACAGGTGTATGGGCAACATGCAGTTGCACGTGCATAGCCGTATCAGGCTCAGCTTAGACTCTGCTCCCGGTCAGCTGCTATTTATTGAGCTACTAAGAGAACTACAACGGGCAGCTGTCCCTACAAGTGTCTCATATCCAGTCTCTCCATGGCCTGAGGAAAATGTATGGTAATCCAGAAATGCATTTCTGTTTCCATTTTGTACGCATCCTCATGCTGTGCTATGTCATAAAATCAGAGCTGGGACATGATAACTTCGCCAAATATCCACTACGACTGATATTTAGTGCGCTGCTGCAACTGCTACTATATATATTACTACTATTCATGCCGCTATGGCTACTATTTTCGCAGTTGCTGCTGCGGCTGTTGCAACCACGTCTACTGCTGCTGCAACCACGTCTAATGCTGCTGCAACTACTACTTCTGCTGCTGCGACTATACTATTGCCATAACTCCCCTAAATTCCCCCACCCTTCATAATAAATGACTAGTCCCTAATTTTTAAGTACGCATGACTAACATACCTCACAAAAACAAACACAACACATGTGGACACCGGTGGCCAGAATTCCAGCCGTTTCTTGAAGTGGGAAGAGCACCATCCCTTACCATTTTAGTAACGAAAGAATTTGTTGTTTCTCAAAGCAGACCTTCTACGAAGGGAGGCATATGTTGTTTTTCTGTTTGGTTTCTTTTGTTGGTTACAGATCCATATCAGTAATCGTGATTCTAAAGCAGAAAAAAATATCAAAATTCAAGATTATATTTTTTTATGATTATTTGCTGAAAATTCACATTTCTTGTACATTGATAGATTTTTCTTGACCTTCAAGTCACGTGCAACAGGCTAATATCACCGTTGTATATATATCCTTGGGACTTCAATAGCTAACAGCACGCAACGTTTTTGGATATTAAGTATATTAAGTATGTAAGTGACATTTCAAGGCATTGTTATTCAGTAATATAATAATTTTGGCCTATGGTAGTGGTCAGATCACAATACTTGCAAGAACATATTAACAGTGGTTGTGACACTTTTGCCATTATAGGAAATAGCACCATATGTATTCTCAATCCAATTCTACGCAGATTGTGTACCGTTAATCGAAATTCAATATTTTCTGTTGTCAAATTCGTATTTTGTTTTTAGGTAATCAAATTCAGTTTTATGTATACCGATTGTCAAAATGAGTATTTCTTTACAAGTACTCTTATTCAGTATTTTGTTACAGATTGTCAAAACCAGTGTTTGCTTACCGTTTCTCAAATTCTCTATTTCTTTACAAGTACTCAAATTCAGTATTTTGTTACAGGTTGTCAAACTCAGTAACCAGTGTTTGCTTACCGTTTCTCAAATTGTGTATTTCTTATAAATACTCAAAATCAGTATTTTCTTACAGGTTGCCAAATTCAGTTTTTTTCTAAAAAGTACTCAAATTCAGTTTTTCTTAACAAGTACTCAAATTCAGTATTACCTTTACAAGTAGTCAAATTCAGTATTTTGTTACACATTGTCAAATTCAGTATTTACACTCACGTAAGAAAACTGCATTGGTGACTAATTATAGTGAGTGAATGAGTTTAGTTTTATGCCGCACCTAGCAATATTCCAGCTGTATGGCGGGGTTTCAAATTCTGAGACAATTTCGCAACAAGAAACGCTGCAGTTTACTAAACAAATATACGTTAGCTTATATATAGTGTGGGTACAAGTGTTGGGAATTGGTTCTAATCTCGAAAATGATGATTGGTTAATCACAACCATCATCGAAAATAATTGGTTAGCGTCACTTATCAAATTTTCCTGGTTATGTTATCCTTTGGGTTTTTTTTGTTTTTTAATTGTTAGTTTTTTTTCCTTCAAATTTAACATATTTAAAAGACGACTAGTATGTTAGGTATGTCCTGGAGTCTTTAAGATAAATCCAATCATGACTTGGAACGAGCTTGAAGTGCTTATGAAATGTAACAGACAAAACCAACCTTGTGAAAAATATTGTTAATGCAACCAAGTGTTCCAAAACTGTTTGTGTTTGATTATGCGAAAACACGATCGATTGCTCAGTCGTCTAGTCACTGCGACCAATCTTAGATTATTGCAATTAATCGGACGACCACCTTTGGATACGGAGAGATTTAATTCAGAATCTACTATTAGTTTATAGTTGTTCCATTGAATTTAATAAACTATCAATGACATGAGTGAAAAGATGTTAAGAATATTAAGTACAGATCAGTCAGTTAGAAGTCACAAAACATGATGAAGTGTTCTTTTAATTAGGTCAGGAATTTTGACATTCTTAAGTATATACTCTTTGAAAAAAACGGACAAGGAGAAATAAAGTTGCCAAATTGCACATTTTAGTAACTGTAACAGTTGTATGATAACATTGACCGAACTGGGAACACGGTAGACAGTATGACAGTAGATGTTATGATCAAAGGAATTTGAAAGTTGACGTGTTGGGATCACCATTCCTTCATTTTATCACCCAATCAATGGCGATTTGAGGAAGTCTGTCTCACTCCTCTCGCAGCGCCAGACCAAGTTCAGTCAGTGTGTCATTCGTGACTCACTCGTTTTAATCCGGGAAATACCGAATAGCGACTCGTGCTCCTCTGGGAAGGGCGAGTGGTGACGAATGTCAATGTAGTCGGTTGCCTATGATGTTGATGTGTCGCTGACGTGTTCAAAGGTCTGGACTCACAACTGAATATGGTCATCGTATCCCAACTGCTCATTATGTCAATCACTGGATTGTGTGGACTCGAGTATGTACAGACCGCCATCACCTAGCTGGAATATTGCCGAGTGCGGCGTATTGATAATACATATAATTGTGTAATGCAACCACACAATTATATGTGAGTGAGTGAGTTTAGTTTTACGCGGCTTTTAGCAATATCACGCCAGGGGACACCAGAAATTGGCTTTACACATTGTTCCCACGTGGGGAATCGAACTCGGGTCTTCGGCGTGACGAGCGAACACTTTAACCATTAGGCTACCCAACCGCCCTTAATTTCTTTGAACAAAACCTACAGTACATATTGAATTATATGATATCCTTCGCTGTATTACCGGAAACTGCTCTACATATTAATTTTATCACCTGAGTATTTTCACGTGTACAGTTTTATTGAAATACTGCTTTCTATACGCAGTAGTTCCTTTGGAACATAATGGATTTTTTAACCTCGGAATAAACCAATCAACGACTTGCCATTTGTTGACATATCCCATTTAGGAGCTAGGCGGTATATATAGAGGAACACAGACCTGGTGAGTCAGTAGGAGCTTTGTATACTTCGCGTATGTGAGATCAGTAAAGTTTCTATAGCTTGGTCTCTCAAAATGAGACACCTCTTCTTTCTCGTCGCGGTGGCCATTGTCGACGTCATTATAGCTATAGACCACGGCGGCATGTCGAACAACGTAGACGTTGATGAAATTGACGCTCTGATATCGTCAGGGGAGGCACCTACAGGACAAGAAACAAGCGTGCAGTACAGGGAGGGGCAGGTGACAGATGCTGAAGACAGAGGAGGCAATGCTGGAGAAGAAAGGATGGGCAATCTCGGAGATGACGTTCACAGGAGGACAGGGAACACTGCACAAGAATGGATGAGCAATCTCCGAGATGACGTTAACAGGAGGACAGGGAACGTTGCACAAGAATGGATGAGCAATCTCGGAGATGACGTTAACAGGAAGACAGGGAACGCTGCACAAGAATGGATGTCCAAGATGAGTTAACAGCTCTCGGAGATGACGTTAACAGGAAGACAGGGAAAGCTGCACAAGAATGGATGAACAATGTCCAAGATGACGTTAACAGGAAGACAGGGAAAGCTGCACAAGAATGGATGAACAATGTCCGAGATGACGTTAACAGGAAGACAGGGAAAGCTGCACAAGAATGGATGAGCCATGTCCGAGATGACGTTAATAGGAGGACAGGGAAAGCTGCACAAGAATGGATGAGCCATGTCCGAGATGACGTTAACAGGAAGACAGGGAACGCTGCACAAGAATGGATGAGCAATCTCCGAGATGACGGTAATAGGAGGACAGGGAACGCTGCACAAGAATGGATGAACAATCTCAGTAAGGGTAAGGCCACAAATCATCGAAATGGCGTTAACAGGAGGACAGATAATACTGGAACAAAACGGACAGGTAATTCCACGCACGGTAAGGCCACACATGGTCGAAATCGCGTTAACAGGAGGAGAGGGAATGGTAGAAGAAATCAGCATTCCACACAGTTCAACAAGAATCCAAGGCAAGGTAATTATGATTTGTATCGTCTTCCTATCGGGGTAAGTTATCGGTACTGATTCTTGTTCGGTGTTTCCTGAAGGATAACAGGGTTTAATGTTGGAGAGGACATAATATGGAAAGCAGCGTGCATCTCAATGAGATCCAATCATGCCATCTTCCTTCTTCCTTGCTGTTTGTTTTTCAAATATACTATTTTGCTGGGAATTTAAGCTTAATGTGCTGATGAGATAATATTGGGTCCTTTAGTTCATTTCCTAATTCTACTGATTGACCCAACTAAACTTGAAACAAAATCGACCTGTGAACCAGACGCATCTTATTAACAGTTAAAAGACGACAAATAGCTTCAATTTTCAATTAGTCAACATTCAGCATGTATTATCTACTGTTCCCTTTCCAAACTTAGAATCGTCTTGTCCGAGGGATTTTGTGTACAACGCCAAGCTGAAGTTCTGTTTCAAAGTGATTTTTGAGAGATCCTCCACGTACAGTGCCAAGAAGAAATGTAAGCGGATGGTCAAGGGAGGTCGACTTGTCCAGCCGGACACAAGAGACAAACTGATGGAACTCACAAAAACTATCAGCAGCAAAAATCATGGTAAGTTTGTTTATTCTTATCGCCGCACTCACCAATAGTCCAGCTATATGGTGGCGGTTTGTAAATAATCGAGTCTGGACCAGACAACCCCGTGATCAGCAGCATGATCATCGATCAACGCAATTGGGAACCGATGACATATGTCAAAAAAGTTAGCAAGTCTGACCACCCGATCCCGTTAGTTGCCTCTTATGACAAGCATGGGTTGTCGAAGATCAATTCTAACCCGCATCTTCACGGGTGTCCATATTGTTACAGACACAGGAACACCCTGATAGAGACATTTCTGTCTGCACAGTGCTTGGCTTCCATCTCGCTCAGTAACAAGCATTTGTAACTATTCGTGTCATTCCGGCAAGCCGGATGCATTCGTGACCAACTCGTGTTATTCCGGGACAAGCTGAATTGCGATCTCCTTGGAGCATTCGTCACCACTCGCCCCTTTCCGTATCCTCCTATTCGGCTTATCCCGGAATAACACGGGTTGGTCACGAATGCCGGGTGGCGTCACGGAAAGAGGCGAGTAATTACGAATGAGTAACAAGAGGAGAATGTCGGGTACATATTTCATAATAATTTGTTTCCAGGGACTCGATCAAGCTTCGCCATCGGCTCCACCAAGAATAGGGGAAGAGACTACACGTGGATGGACGGCAGCCCAATGAAATACGCCAACTGGTGTCTTGGTTCCCCGAACAAGGGTAAAGCGTGTGTCACACTCACTTCTCAGCGACGGGGCAGCGACATGTGCATGGACGACGGCTGCTGCTATCATCGTGGAAAGTTCATCTGTGAAAAGCCCATCGCGTATTAGAAGCCACGGGTGCCCCAGATGTCTGAGGTCTCGTAGTTTGCTTTTGAAAGCGGCATTAAAGATATTAAACTCTCTATCCTGAAAAGTGTGTCTGTTTTTATACACAGGGCCCAGCGGGCACATCAACGTTGTTTCAACGTTGAGAATAGGTTGGTCCTCAACGTTAAAATTAGATTGAAAAAAGGTTGTATATGAAAGTTTGTTAGACGTGGATATCCGACGTGGAATCAACGTTGAAGTTTGACCTATTATCAACGTTGAATATGGGTTGTTCCGTGGTTGTGTATGGGAGTTTTTAGAAATCTAACGTAAACACATGAAAATTCAAACAAGATTACAATACTTTGTATCCCGCTTTCCTGTAAATAGACTCGCATTTCCACTTTAAACTACGCTAAAGTTGCACCAAACTCCTGCATCCAATTAAAATACCCCAAAAAGCTACCTGCAATAAACAGTGTTCAAACAGAAATTTGCAGTAAAAATATTAACCTGATAAAATACTTGGTTAAAATTCCACATTCACTATAATGTTCATTTAAGTTTCATGTCAGTTGGACGTATAATTCCAGTAAGAAGGGAAGAGTATTCCAAATTAAGAAAAACTATTTACTGTTGTGTTGTTATCTTGAAAATATGGAAATTGTCCCGAGGAGGCATTTTGTCTGAATTTCAGCTATTAGATAGACCCCCTGAGTAAACACAATGCAGTTACTTTAACCATGAAAGGATCCAAGATGACTAGGAACTATACCTGAAGACAGCACATAAAACAAGTCACTTTTTCATGAAATCTTTATTAACACACACACACACACACACACACAGAAATGTGGTTTAAAGCATAATGTAAAACATCACACATGACATAGTCTGTAGGTGATCTCTGTTGTGCTAATAACACAATATCATCTGCATATAGCATTAAACTGACATTTACGCCAAGTGCAATACCACAGTTCAGATCTTTCAACACAATTACAACTCCAAAAACACAATTATTTTAGCTCCTCTTCTTTCTGCCACTCCCAGCCTGGCGGTCAGGTAGATACTTCAGAAACGTTCCTAACTCTTTCTTGAAATTTGCTTTGGATGCATTCCCATCTCATTCACATTCACATTCTGAAATATTTGTATTTAGATACATGTATAATTTTATATGGAAGATATATTGTCTAGGTTCATTTCACTGCTGTAACTTGGCATGTGAACATATGTAACATGAGTATGAACAGCATACATACAACATATGAGGAAAAGTACTTTTACAGTGTAAACAATTTATATTTTTAACTAAAGGAATGGAAGTTTTCTTAAACATTTTCAAAGAAAATTCACAATTGCAAGTTGATTATTCAATTAGACTATGAATTATGATGAATTAGACGATGCTTTACTGTCATATATTATTTGCTATGGTCATGATGAAAATGCTGACAAAGAGCATTTGGTAATTAACATACCAGAGATGATTGAATCCAACCTTGTATTCTTAAAAGAAAACTTGCCGTTTGCCCATCAACATTCTTTCTTGACATCAAATTGTTTGACATTGTCCTGCAAAACAATGGAAGTTTGTTGTTATTCTGTCAGATTTAGTTTTCGTTAGAGATTCCCGGAAATGATTATTTCAAATTAAATAGGAGTTGTACTGATGTAGCAATTTTGCTCACAGGAATCATAAATTGTAACAAAAGGCATTTTTTTATTAAATGATGAGAAAACAAAGTGGGTGGTAATGAAAGAGCATTATCATCTTTCTCTTAAACATTGTGATGGATATACTGGCAAACAAGTGAAATGTTAACAAGCATTGTCACTAAGGTGACATAATCCCCCCGCAGCAAATTATGAAATCAAACTTAAAAAGTAATGAAAGTGAAGGTCGTAATTTAAGATGAAGTTAAATGTGAACAAAAACGTGACCAGTCAACCTCTTTTGATATCTTGTTCTGTAGTTGTTCAAACGCACAAATATTTACAAGACTCACTTTGACCTTGACATGAACGTCTTAGTGTATGAAATATGCAAAAATAGTAATAATTGCTTATTGAAAAACATTCCAGGGAAATCTTGAAAGTCCATGGAGAAAATCCAGTGAACTGTTCTTGAGAAATCTCGCTGACAATCTTAACATGCAGTTTAACATGCTGAAATCTTCAAAGTGTCCCTGTGATCTTGACAATTACGTGAAGGTCACCAAAATCGAAGGGACTTTGCACCTTCCCTCGATGAAGCTTGGTGTCAAATATGAAGAAAGTCCAGTGAATGGTTCTTGAGATATCTCGCTGACAATCTTTACATGCAGCTTAACATGCTGAAATATTCAAAGTGTCGCCGTGACTTTGAAAATTCAGTGAAGGTCACCAACATCGACTGAGCCCTGCGCCTTCCCTAGGTAGAGCTTGGTGTTGACTATGAAGAAAATCCAGTCAACGGTTCTTGAGATAGCTCCTTAACAAGCTTAACATGCTGGAATCTTCAAAGTGTCGCTGTGACCTTGAAATTTCCGCGAAGATCCCTCAAATTGACTGGGCCCTGCGCATTCCCTAGGTAAAGCTTGGTGTTGAATCTGAAGAAAATCCAAAGAACGGTTCTTGTGATAGCTGGCTGACAAGGGTAAAACGTTAAAGTCCCATTGTGACCTTGAAATGAAGATCAAGGTCACCAAACCTGACTTGGGCCTTTCTTATACTGTTTTGAACCTAGGTACCAAATATGAAAAGAATCTAGTCACCAGTTCTTAAGATATTCCAATTCGTACGTACGGACAGACGGACGGAGCCTAATACCATATCCCCCGCTTCGCGCTAAACGCGCGACAGGGGATAAAAACTTGTTACCTTAGCATTGCTCCTTTTATGTGATTCACAAAATTGATGCCACCCAATCTTCGAAGATGATATTTTTGCAAATTCCATTAAAAATAAATCTTATTTTTCATAATTAAATGTTCCTTACTAAGATACTTCTTTTATATGTAACATGTTAACCATTAAGATACATAAATCATCACATGCCTTCCAAACCAGTGTAAGAATGAAAGTCTATGGGTGCAGTTTTGTTAATTGTCCCATCAAAGAATCATTAGTGAAGTTACACATTTTGTAAATAAATAAAAGTTCAAATAAATTATATACAATTTCACCCTTCACAAAGACTTGCGCAAGACATTTTGATGTGAATTTTCGTTGCATGATCTGAGAAAGATTTCCTTTCGCCATTCTCCATCCCCCCTCCCCCCAAATAATATACATATGCTGACAGGGTTCAGAGCGTGCTCAATGCACAATTAACTGATAGATCTATTCACACGAACAAATGTTCGTAATAATGCATAATTTATGGCTAGGGGGTGATGATGATTTTTATGGAGAAGCAATGTGAATTACCTCCCCACCCACCCACCCCCAAGTGGTGCTAAAAGTGTTGCAAGAAAAATGGCCGCCGCTCTAAGTAGAGGTTCTCACCTGAAGTTTTCAAGCAATCAATACGACTTTAAAATATTGTTTGTCTATCACAGGGGCGTGTCACGCTTAAAAACAGCGTTAGAAAGACACATAGGTATGTAGACCTTACCCTAGTACTATATGCAGCAGCATATCAGCAGCTAGTTTGTCAGATCTAATCTTTATTTCTGCCACAGCTTTCTCCACATAACCTGGCGTCATAATTATTCATAAGATACATCACCTGGTCCTACTTAGAAAAACGTGTACGGCAACGTACGATTAATTATGTAAAAGGACGTCGTAAAACGAGCGTACGGTGTGGATGCAGTTCTGAGAGCGAAAACCAGAATGACCTCCAAAGATGCCAAAGTATGTTTGCGTAGCCAGATTGTTAAATAAATTACCATTGCATATTATCTGTTTGTGCAATTACAGCTAAAACAATTACTGCAGATAAAAAATACATAGGGGCATAGACGGAAAATATGAGCAAAAATCCACGTCGGTGTACAGAGTTGCTGATCCCACAGGAACTATGGAAAAATATCACTACGTCGCCCTCAAAGAGGCGGTGGGGTAGCCTAATGGTTAAAGCGTCCGCTCGTCACGCTGAAAACGTCACATGTGTACAATGTGTGAAGCCCATTTCTGGTGTCCCCAGACGTGATGTTGCTGAAATATTGCTATAAACGGCGTAAAACCATACTCACTCACGAGTGAGTTTAGTTATACGCCGCACTCAACAATATTCCAGCTATATTGCGGCGGTCTGTAAATAATCGAGTCTGGACCAGACAATCCAGTGATCAACAGCATGAGCATCGACACTCACTAGTACCTCAAAGGACCAATATAGGTAGTGTGGGACCTACACTCACCTCATATCCCTAGTTTGTTTGTTGAGTAACGCCGCACACAATATCCAATCTATATTCCGTCCGTTTGTAATTGGTGGGGCGGTGGGGTAGCCTAATGGTTAAAGCGTTGGCTCGTCACGCTGAAGATCCGGGTTCGAATCCCCACATGGGTACAATGAGTGAAGCCCATTTCTGGTGTCCCCCGCCGTGATGTTGCTGGAATATTGCTAAAAGCGGCGTAAAACCAAACTCAGTCAGTCAGTCAGTTGTAATTGGTCGAATCTGGACCAGACAATCCAGTGATTGATACCATGAGCATCGAACTACGTAATACGACTACATGCATCAACCACGTCAGTGAGTCTGAACACACCATTTTGTTTACTGACTGACTGACTGACTGAGTTTGGTTTTACGCCGCTTTTAGCAATATTCCAGCAACATCACGGCGGGGGACACCAGAAAAGGGCTTCACAAATTGTACCCATGTGGTGATTCGAACCCGGGTCTTCGGCGTGACGAGCCAACGCTTTAACCATTAGGCTACCCCACCGCCCCGATTGTGTTTACAACGCTGCACTCGGCGGTGTCCTCCCATTTGTGAGAACTCCCAGTTGTGAGACACATTAATTAATGGTTCAGTGCACATAGGTGGTGTTTCCACGTCCCTACAATGAAAGTGGGATCAGCCCAGTTGTTGAAGAGTACCCACAGGAGTCATTGATGAGTAGATTAATGAAATAGATTATCAAAGATTC